ACGCCGGCCTGGAGGTTTTTGTTTCCGCTTGGGAGAGACGGCGTTGAGAGTATTTTTTTCATTTAAAGCCCTTCCGTACAGACTGCAACAGTAGTTGCAGCAGCTGTCATATCAGGAATGAGCGTGACTTGCGGCCGTCTGCCTGTCTGTGGATAACGACTGCATTTATTTTAGTTATGAAGTGCGTAAACAATTTAAATTTGAAGCAAGCCAAAACAAGAGCAGAATTTATTTGCGCAAATAAATTTCAAAAGAGCGCTTAGTACCTGCGTCCGCTCTGTGCATGAATGATGAAACAATTAGAAAACACATCATTTCCGCGTTCTTTTTCGAGCACGACGAACAAACCGGACCTTACTTTACATGGAAGCATCCTCTACATACGGCGGGAGAAACCCGACCTATGTAAGCAACTAGGCCACGTAGAGTTAATCTTCAATTGCCCTGGTAAATACAAACCATACTTTTATTTTTGTTAATCCCCTCCCCTACCTACTTTTCGTCTCAAGTTGACATAAGTATTGACCAATATTTGCCACATTAACAAGACCTTGCTATTATCGATTTTGTGAAAAATCAAAATGATGTGTTCTCTGTAGTTGTTTCGTTGCTCATGCACAGAGAGTGTGGACGCAAGCGCTCTTTTGAAATTTATTTGTGCAAATAAATTCTGCTGCTGTATTCGCTTGCTTCAAATTTATATAGCGAGGAAAAATGCTTTAAATTGATTTTTTACGAAGACTTACAGGTAGACAACATCATCAAACGCGGGCTAAAGTCACGCATGGGGTTCAAGGGGGCGCCACCGACGGCCCCGGCCGAATCGATGCCCAGGTACACCAGCATGCCCAACCAAGGGAAGCACACATAGGTCGGCAGTGGGACCAGTTTGGGCTCACTGAAGGCGTAGATGCCAATCGCGATGCCGGCCGTCGTAAAGAGTTGGTATTCAAACGTGAAGCCCGTATTGCAGTCCGTGGGTGTAATGAAGATGTATCCTGTGGAGTTCACGAGGAATTTGCCGCCATCGTGATTGTTGGCATAGTCAATGATTTTATTGTGATAGGTAGCCAGGACAAGACCGGCACCTAGGTAGCCGCCAAAGAAATCCAGCAGAATGTAGGGGAGACAAAGGGCCCAGCGCAGCCGGCCGACG